GTGTGTGTGTGTGTGTGTGTGTGTGTGTGTGTGTGTGTGTACATATAGCATTCTTTACACTTGAACCCCGGCGTCCTTCCTCCGAAAGCGAGTCGTTCAAGCTCCACACCGCCATCCACGCCGCCAATTTCTTTGGCGCTGTTTGTTGGTTCAGCAAAAGCGCGTTTGTGTCCTTCTTATCACCGCCGGCAGCCCCTTTTCTCCCGTCTGGTCACGGTGCCACTCAAAAAGGGTTGACAGAAATACGAGGGACGCTTCCATAGCGACCCCCGGGGGATGCGGACTAGAGGTCGGTACGGGAGTCGATCTGCAGTGTAATGCTGTCATCGTCCATTTTACCAGCGAGACATGGCGTGTGGGTGTCTGTGGGAATGTCTGGGTGTGGGACATGCCTTCGTTTGATTGGAGAAGTCATAAAGTCTGGCGACCTCGCACATTTCCTCCGCTAAGGTGAAGCTCGCAGTCAATCCTGCACTGGGAGTGCAGCCTCCCCCCCTCCCGCCTCGTTGGTCCTCCCATCCCTACGCCCCGTGCCTGGGGAGTCCGGAGCTGGGCGTGGGCCGGGTCCTCTCGACGCCAGCCTCTGGACGGGAGAGCGCTCCAGGGAGAGGTCAAGCGGGCTTGCTTACACAATAGCATTATCTCAGTTCCAGGCCTCGACTAACGGCGGCGGTGAGCACTTCCTGTCCCCTCAGCGAGCGCTTCCTGTCCTTGGCGCGGCAGCACAAGTTGTCCGCCTCGCACAAAGCAGGCGGCGGCGGGGGGGTTGGGGGGGGGACGCACGCTTAGCGCCGGGCGGGCCGTCGATCTCGCTAATGGCTGCGGTGGCCTTCGGGGGGGTTGCATAATGCGCGGCAGTCTTCGCTTTTGCGTCGCGCAGGCGGATGGCGTATTTATGGTGGCACGCTGGCCTGATCCCCACATGTGCTCACAAAGAATGCAGATGATAAACACTGCATGCCCCTTTTCATTCTGAATGCTAACTATGCTAACCCATCACCAGCCAATTAGCAGTTACCGATACCTGTAGACAGTCGTGCTGACTATTATTGCCGCCTTTGTCCACGTTGACTTCTGTGAACTCCTCGGCGGAGGTTCGCTCCGTTGATCAGAGTGTCATTTCAGTATTTTGCATGCATTGTTTGCAGCCAACAGACGTGTGTCATGATCAGCCCCTCAGATAGGAAGTGTTGTGATTGTCTGATTAGACCACCGCGTCCTCCCTCTTCAACACCTGCTCTTGGGAGCGGGGGTTGGGATTGCGGGGTGCGTGTGTGTGTGAAAAGAAGACCGAAAATGGCGTCTCGGAATAGATTTGCCACCTTCACCAGAAAAGTTTTATTCCCTTTAGCTGTCAGCTGCCAATCACAGTGAGGTTGTATAGCGAGCAGGCCGGATGGTACACACGGAGTCTGTGTTGTTATGGCAACGGTGAAGGGTAGCCTTTACCCACTCTTTGCATCCTTTTAGGCCCAAAAAGATGAACGCGCGGTATCAGATATGTTACACGGATGTTTCCCAGAGCGTGTACCAACTTTTCCAATTCAAGGCAAGGAACAAGGTGGGAAAAAAAAACCCGCAAAAGATTGTTTGTTGTACATGAAAACACCTTGTTGAGTGATTGCTAAGTACGTGGAATTAGCATTTCACCGCATCCCCGTCTGCCCACCAGCAACCACTCATTGTCCTGGCCGGTTGAGGCTAATTGAAGAGTCTGTTTATCATTTTATGACTTTATCCATAAGGACAGAGCTCGCCAGCTCTTCCTGTTCTCGGGGCTCCTTGACAGGTCGCTGGCATTATGAGGCTGGCCGGGCCAACTCCGACTGCCATCACGCCTTGCCATGCATTGTTTTAAACTCCACTGCGACCGGTCACAAACTGATAAGACCTGTCGTCTATTTTAGGACGAACCCTTTCTTTTCTTAGTTTAAAAAAAAAAAAAAAAGAAAGAAAAAAGGAAAAAAAACACATCTGGCCTTGACACTCTCAGACTAAAATATCTGCAAGCTCTTTGGTAGGAAATCTTTAGGTAGTTTGTTCATTAGTTTGTTAAGTCATTGTGTGGCTTGCTGGCTCATTTTTTGTTAGTGGCTTATCTAGTTTGCTTGGTTATTTTTTTTTGTTTTGTTAATTTGATAGCTACCTTGGGGTATTTATTCACAAGATACTTAAATAATTAACCTGTGGAAGTTATTAATTTGTTTGCTTGTTATTAATTTATTCAGTTAGCTGTTAATTGTTTGGTTGGTGTCTTTACCAGCTAGTTTACAAGCTAGTTAGGTTGATAGGTGGATAGCTAATTATTCACTTGGTTGGTTTCACTAACTAGCTGGCTAGCTAATTGAAAGTCATCAAAAACCCTGGCTCAACCTAAAAAATATATATATTGTTTGATCTCTTTGTGAAGCAATCAGGCCTTGATGCATATAACGAGAGCCAAGACAAAATTCTGTCATTTGTTAGCAAAAGTCATCAATGAATCATCTTTTCCAGCATCAAAGGCAGAAAACAATAAGCGGTGCCAAGAAAACAAAAAAGTCATTCAGCAGCGACAGATTTGTGTGGTGTCGCGTTGGCCTTTGTGTTGACAAAGTCAAGTGAGAATGATGTTGCTAACAAGTGTTGTAATTGTGTTTCGTAACAAATACCCTGACCTGCGTTCAACCCCTCACGTCATCTTCAAGTCCACAAGCCTCTTTGACTTGGACTTGGACACTGGGTCAATTAGACAGCGACCAATCATTGCTAATCAATTGATTTAGTCAGGAGAGAGACAGTGCGGTCTTTGTGAGCTGCAATCTGCGTGTCCATTGATTTGTCGCCCTTTTGTGTGTGCCACGCTAAGGTGACCAAACATGTAGATAGCCCACAAACGTGCTAACCATCAATAGCGTGCTAACCGTCAATAGTGTGTGTTTGATTGGAAAGAATCTGGATCAATATGCTACATGAGGTAAAGGCCACTGAAGGCCTTGGAGGCCATGTCCACACACCTTATTATTTTTCGGAGACATTTGGATTTTGTTTTATCTGGCCGTCGAACTAATTTGCGAGCATTCGCGGTATCTGATGTGCTAAAACCTAGCGTATATCGTTAACATCACTGTTCTGCGTTTGTTGCAGTTTTCTGTGATTCTTTAGGTAGGTCGTCAGTGTACCGTTTGGCTAGTTTTATGGGTCAGTAGATTGCTAGTATTTTAGCTGGTTTGCTTGATTAGGGTTAAAAGTGAATTTGAAAAATTCATAAGCTGTTGTAGAAGTGCATAAGTCAGTTAGTTCATGTGCTATTTGGCTAGTTTGACTGTTTATTTGGTCGGTCGGTTGGTTGGTAGCTAGGTAGGTGGCTTGTTAGTTATTGCGCTAATTATTAGCTTTGTTAATTGTAGTTGCAAGTAATTTGGAAGTTAGCTTGGTAGTTTGTTTGCTAGTTAGCTAGAGTAGGCTTAAAAGTAATTCTTAAAGTTCTTTAGTTGGCTCACTAGCTGGTTTGTCAGTCATGAGAAAAATTCCATATTTGACATTGTGTACCTTCAACAGTGAATCGCAACAGTTTGTTCATTAGAATACACAAGAAGTAGAAACTGCAGTCTGTCTGCTGTTGAACAGTTGTGAAAGGTAGAGGTGTGAAGCCCACGACATGCATTTCCACTAGAGGAAGCGACCCCCCCCCCCACACCCCCTTTCCTTGTAATTTGTTTTGTCCAAAAAGAGTAGTTATGTGGGTAGCTTCAAGGAATTGGCTGGAGTGTGATAAAAGTAGTGCTGAAACGCATCAGGCATTATAAAAATTATGTTTGTGGTTTGCCAGGTATCTAGCTCGCTTCATCCTAATTCTATTTTCGTCTAATTCTGATTTAATAACTTAATTGTATTGACGGGGCCAACTTTGAGCTTTGTACCACCTACTTAAACGCACACACACACACACGCACACACACATGCACGCACTCGCACTCCTACTCATAGTGGACGATGATGATGATGACGAAGATGTAATCACGTTCACAAAAGTGGAGAAAAAAAAAATCTTGTTTTTTTTTTTTTTCCCCACAGCTGTGCTTTTACAGAGGAAATGCACATTGTGTGAGTGTTAGTGTTAGTGTGAGCGTGAGCGCGAGCGCTTCCTCCCCGGCGTTGTTCCCCTTACTCGCCGTGATAGGTTGGAAAACTCGTTAGATTGTCAACTTCTGCTTTTGTTGTCACTCAGGCTAATGACAAAAAAAATGACCTCTGTCATGGAAGCAGATGGATGAGCCAGGCCCGGCGAGCTTGAGCTGTGAGCGCTTCCCTTTCACCTTTCATGTTATTTTTGAGATGTTTCATTCATCATTCTCCAGGGGACTACGTTTGGACCTGTTTGATGTCACCTCGGGGCCAGCGTCCGAGGTGCGGCGCTGTCTTCGTTTCCACACAATGGCCTCAGTAAATAGGCTCTCTGGATGACCGCTTTGATAAAGGAACCTAAAACAAACAGCGGTAACTCTCAAGTCCACTGCAGTCGGCTTCCCCATTGCAAATAATACATTTTAAAAAAACTGTTACTTTTATTTTGCATTTAACAGTTTATTCAATGTTCAAACCTATTAACGTTCCTGACTGTCGTGCAAGTGTAAAAAGAAGTTAGACTGTATTAAAATGTAAAAACAAAAACATCGATGAGTTAAAACAAATTTGAATCACCCCCCCCAAGCCCCTCCTCCTCCCAAATTCAAATAAAATGGTGCGCCGAAGCATGTTTACAAGATTTAATTATCCATTATAACATACAAAAACATGATCAAGTCTACCTTCACGTTAATGACAAATGATGACAAATGTGACACGACATGTTGCACACCTGCCATAGGAGAAGGTGAATGTGCGTGTTTGTGTGTGCACGTCTCGCGCCAATGCTGTCACTTCCCCCGCTCGGACGCCAGCTTCCCTCTGCGCTTCCCAGCAGAGCTCGCGGGTCCTCCCACCTGCCCGGAAAGGAAATCACATTCACATCACATTCAGTCCGCCAGCAAAGCCACTCCAAACCGTCACTCGTGCTCTCCGTGATGTCAATAACACAAAATCTCCACGTGTTGGATATTTATGGTAGCATAAATGCTACACATGCAGACGTAAGCCGCCAACGTTATGCGCATCAACACCAGAGGTTGCACCGTGCTGATTTTTACGTCGAAAGCGACTGTCGCCATCACGCCGATGTCGGCGCGCATCTCATTATCTGAATGCGGGAGGCTGCATTTGGCACAATTCACATTGCGTATCCCTTCCTGCTTCCTGCCCTCCCGGCTCCATAATCCCCGCAGTCTCAAATCAAAATGTCCGCCTCTTGACAGCCTGCGCAGGAACAATACATCTCAAGTGTGTGTGTTTTTGTTTTTTTTTTTGGGGTTGGTTTTCAGTGTGTGGCAGGAAACCGCGGGCAAACGCTGCGGCGTTATCCACTCATTCTCCTGCCGGGGGCTTTCCTTGCAGCGCAGGAAATTGTCCACTTTGATTTACTCTGCAAATCTGTGCCTTGTAGTGGAGTCTAAAGCTTATACAATCACACACTACTGCTGACAGAACTAAGTTATCCGTATGACTTTTGGCTATCGGTGTTTGTTTGAGCGGCACTGCATCAGTCATGTCACTTGTCTGTTTTAAAATTGGATTGGCGTTTCAGAAAATGGATTGGTTTTGCCGATCCCACTTTGCTTTGCTATTGGGCCAGCAATAGGATTTTATTGAGACCAGTTTTGCTCTTTGCATCTTTGGCTTGCTGTTGCTTATCATTTTCAGGGTTTTGTCTTATTGCGAGCAGCTTCCCCTGGTCACGTATCGGTAATGATCCAATTAGTATCGGTGCTGTCGCGATGGCCGATACTATTTTGTTGTTCTACTTCTTCCATTCATAACTTTGCTGCTGTGAATTGGGAATTTCTCCATTGCGAGACTAATAAAGGTTTTCTTATCTTATCTTATCTTATCTTATCTTATACCTTTCCTTGTTGATGTACGGGGTAATCGTGAAACTGCCATGACCAAGTGTTCGGCTATGGGTCATAACGGCAAGTAGACAATGCCGTCAGTCATGTCGCCGTGAGCTCCTCTGATAAGGCGTGTGTGTGTGCGTGTGTGTGTGTGTGTGTGTGTGTGTGTGTGTGTGTGTGTGTGTGTGTGTGTGTGTGCGTGCGTGCGTGTGTGTGTGTGTGTGTGTTTGTGTGTGTGTGTGTGTGTGCGTGCGTGTATGCGCTGTCCTGCCAGAAGAAAGCGCCAAGCCAACCCCGCCGGCTGTAGTGGCCTCTTGGGGTGTGCATTGTTTTTCAGTACGCCAGCAAAGCTCGAGTCAAGTCTTTGTGTGGCGGACAGTTGTCATGATATCACAGGGGCGGGACTTTCCCTCAATTTTTCCCATAAGAACAAAAGATTTGCGCCCAGACAGTCTGAGCCGATGCCTCTTTTTCACCATTTTGGCTAGGACACGCCGGCTGTTTTACACTCACACAGTAGCGCATGGCGACATCGATGGTGTGATTTCTAGCGACGGAGGACTTAGTGAAAGTGTCCGCAGCAACTGCGCGCGTTTGCCGTGTTGACGATAGCGTAAGGACAAGAGTGTGGCGGTTTTAATGATTGGTTGGGGTCATTTATGCACTTGAGGGGCACATAGTTTGAAGGGTGAAGGGACCGAGGGAGGTGATTGGTTGAGGCGAGGGGGCGGGGCTGACGACAACAGGTGGACAACAAAGCCCTAAACGGGGGACAGACATGAAACAAACCACGAGAAAAAAAAGACGTAGCAGGAAACAAAATAAAACACTTTCAGCTGGGTCATTTCAGCATGGGATACACTTTATACATAAAAAAGATAAATTAGAAAAAAAACAAAACTCTTCGTCACATATGAATGGCCTGATATGAAAAAGGCCCATTCACGCTCATGTGTTTCGAGAAGGTGAGCAAACGAGCAGCAAACTTCCACCGACAGCATATGGACGACTCTCATCAACTCTCAATCTGCGGATTTCTCTATTTTTGACGTTTTAATCCACCGTTAATCTTTTTTTTTGTGGCGGCGGGGAGGTGGGGGGGCAAAAGCCACTCAAACCTTAGCGTGCGTCATTAATGCCTGTGGGAAAATTAATTTGTCTTTGTTGTTGATGCAGGTCACGAGGGGGGAGACGCGCGGCAGCAACGCTGTGAAATGCTTCACTTCAATGTGAGTACAACAAACGCTTACGTGTGGACACCCATTTGGTGCCCTTTGGTGCCTCCGTTTTCTGGCCACTCTGTCAACACAGAGAAGAAGAGCGCCCCCCACTGGCCCGCACACGCATTACGCTTCCAAGCGCAGTCACTACAAAGATTGGAGACGACTCACTCCTCTTTTTTCTCTTTAAAAGCTTTATGAATTCAGTAAAATAATTATGTTATATTAAAAACAATAGTGCCAATAGTAGCGGAAGTACAGTACTACAGTGCTTCCTGTGAGTTTGTGTGTGTGTGTGTGTGTGTGTGTGTGTGTGTGTGTGTGTGTGTGTGTGTGTGTGGGTGTGTGCGTGTGTGCGTGTGTGTGTGTGTCACCACGCAAAATGAAAAGTGGCTCACTTTCCCCCCCAAAATGAACGAAACAGTTGAACTTTATCTCTATCTTTAAAAAAGGAATTTAAAAAAATGTTCAAAATTAAATGAAGCTGACATTAAATTAAAAAGAAAGCCACTCTAGTTAAAAAAAAATAAAACTATGTCGAATAAAACCAAAAATGTTTCGAAATGAATTCATACGTATAGATATTTTGATTTGTAAGAGCTTAAATAAAAACAATACAGTTGGACAGCGCTTGTCGGCAGCCTTTTTCCACGCGCCCAATAAATGGTGTCATTAGCATACAAAGCATGCAAAATCTTTAATCATCTCCAGACTGACAGTGTGGCCTCTGCTTGCCCTCGGTCAACTTTATGAGAGGTCTATGACTGTAAACTCACTATCAGCTCCTAAAGGGTGGAGTGGGGGGGTCCCCCTGGCCACCGCTAAGCAGTAAATAAATATGAGCCTATTGTATTCTTGTAGGCCCACTGTCCTTGCGCTCCCATGCTGTGCAAACGCACACATACAATGGGAGGCCGGACCCCCGTGTCATTGCCGATCCGCCCCGTCGTCCCCGCGGCTCCTCCGAGACCGCCTGGGAAAGTGAGGAACACGCAGGATGGAGGAAGCAATGAAACGCACGCCTGACGTTGGGCCGTCACTCACGCCCATAGGAAAGTAAAGTTCATTCCGGCTAATGACATACAATGCAGCGCGTCATTTGTCATCATCATCATGGCACTCAGTCACTGAGGTGTTGGGCTTGCACCCCCTAACAAGTTTTTCCAAGACAAAATCCGCCGCTAAACTCATTATTCTTGTCAGGAGTTGTGAGCTAAAATGGGAGTTAGCAAGTCGACAAGATCGCCAATTCAGAAGGCAAAACGCCATAGATGGGCTAATCAAACTGCACCAAAAAAAAAAAAAAAAAGAACATTTGATCATTTTAAGTTTTAATATAAGCTCGTTTCTTAAGGTGAAGCACAGCAATTATTTAAAGTGGTACTTTAAACTGAAAATAAATCAGTTGGCTTTTACTTGAGGAAAAACATTTTCAAACTATTTTTTTTAACGTTGTCTCAAAAAAACATGTTCAGCTATTCTAGCAACATTCTGACTTTATTTTCTGCGTCATGATTTGTTATTATGATATCATAAATATTGTTCCATTTTTTTTCGACCATGAAGCATTCAGGGTCCATCTTGAATTTCTTTTTTTCCAACTGTCAAATAAAACATTGTGACTATATTATTTCACAATTGACCATTCCCTGACTGGGAGAAATGTTTGTGTTGCCGTGTCGCAATGCACTTGGGGTCCAGTTTGCACGTGCGCAAATAACGTTTTTGGAGATGTCCGATTAGCAAAAAAACAACAAGTAAAGTGAACATAACATGCGCATAACAAAACAAGACGTGTGCGGCCTGATTGGCAGCTTATTGTTGAGCGCGCGGGGGTGTTGAGGAAGGCCGGTCGTAGCCCGACTTCCCCGACTCGCTCGCCTTTTAACTTCTTTTTTGTATGATGATGATTTGCCTGGTGTTTGGAAAAGGCCACATTCTGCTACTTGTGTTATTCTTCCTGTGCTACTTGCAGCTGGAAGGACAGGAAGCCAGATCTGGGAAAGTACTTGTATGTATGTCGTCGGTGATTACAGGACAGTGGGCGGAGGCGGGAGGTGAGGGTGGGGGGGCCTCGCTGTGGTTGCCCGCTGTCTTTGCAAAGGCCCTTCCTTGCACTTTCTTATGTCGCGCGGGGGAATTGTGTCCACGCCACGCAACAACCTCAGACGGAAGTCGAAGCCTGACACGGCCAAAAAGTTGATTAATTAATCAGGCAAAAGCCCCCCCACCCCCGCCCCCCTCCCCGCACCCTGATTGTAAATTACGCTCAATGGACAATTCATTAGCGACACCCACGCCCGACTAATAATAACCAAAATGAGGAAAAAGTCATTACGCTATTTTAAAAAAAAAAAGTTACACAAGATTTGCTCTGAGAAAAAAAAAGTGGTTGCCAAGAGTGGGAATGTGACATGATTAATCGCCAAAGCCAGGAAGAAAAATCCTCCCGAGCAAAAGGGTTGCGAGATGAAATAATATATGACGAGTGGCATCACTTCACATGGATGAAGTTGCGAGGTTATGAGGAAAAACGTTCGAGCTAAAAAAGTTATAAAAGGATCAAGTTGAAACGTTACCGCCCCAAAAAATAAATAAATAAATCATCCAAATCCAAAACCGAATCTCATGAACTGGAACGCCTCAATGCAAGAGACCATCATCATATACGAATCTGCCATGACAATGCCCAAAAGCTTCCATTTTGAGATGGACCCCTCCCCCCGTCAAGTCCCGCTCAGTCAGTGAGCGGAGGTGTCAAAGTGGCCACAAAACCGGCAGGTGCTCATTCAGATCGTCGCGCCTGTATGGAAATCACCTCGCGTCTCATTTTTCATGTTCTCGTCTGGGCCAGGTGGGCCACGTCGGCTTTGCGCGCCGCCGCTCTCGTCTGCCTCCAGGACAACTTGCGCTCGCCGTCATCCAAGACAAACATCACGGTGAGCACACACATGCGCACGCACACACGCATCCACCAAGAAAGTCTCCGGACCCTCCTAAAGGAACAAGGCGGGACGCATTTCCGCACTCACTCAACACCCGCATTTCGACATTTTCTTACAGGACATTCTGTTCCATGACATGACAAGGTTTGGTTTTGTGACGTGACACTTCATCGGCTCCTATTACGTGGCGTTACATGACATGGTGTGATGTCACATGACATGTTACGTGACATTGCATTACACTCCATGGCGTGACAGGTCGCTTGACACCGTTGAACAGCGTGACGTGTTACGTCACATGACATGACGGGATGTTATATGACACGTGTGACCTTCCGTCCGTTGCATTACACCGTGTTACCATTGCATGAAGATTTTCAATGACACGTTACGCGACCTGAAATGATGTTACCTGACGTCACGTGTGACGTGTAGTCGCATTCCGTCACATGGCTGCGCTACGTTGCGTTACACCGTGTTACCCATTGCATGACGTGACATGATTTCCAATGACGCGTCACGTGACATGAAATGATGTGACCTGACGTCATGTGTGACGTGACGTTGCATTCCGTCACGTGGCAGCAAGTTACATAACATTATGTGGCGTGACATGTGTCGCCTGACTGTTATTTTACATCGGCGAACGACATAAGATGGCACGTGATATGACGTTACATGCCACGTGGCGTTATGTTGCATAACGTCATGTTACTTGTTACATGTCCTAATATGACCTTGCATGACACTGTTGCTTGAGACTTCAAAACATTGTTACTGACATGTCATGACCGACGTGACATTTCCTGACGGTCGATGACTGCATGACGTGAACACAACACGTTACTTTACTTGACATGACATTGCAAGGCGTTCCGTGACATAAGATCACTTGGTAGCCTCTAAGACGATGTTCAGGACATAATGTCGCCATCCGACGCAAGTTTGCCCTTTCGAGAGTTCCCATGAAGCAGCGAAGGGCCCGCTGGGCTGCTTGTTTCTTTTCCAGTAAGAAAGCGGTGAGCAGCGTGCGTCTTCCTGTCACGGCTTCCTCCGCGTTGGTGCCGGATAAAAGTGGGATGAGCATTATCTCGGGGCCGCAGAACACACGGCTGCACCTCCAGGTCCGCCGGTGCAGGAAGTGACCCCAGGCCTTGGCGCCTAGCTAATTATGGCAGAGCTCAAGAATGTTCCGAGTGGCAAATCTATTTTTAGCTTCAACATAAACTGCCCTTTGGCCTCCTGTCAATATTGGACATGCGGAGGTGGCATTTTTGCCTCCTAATCTCCGAGCGGCAATGTTTAGTGAGGAAATACGCGGGATGTTTGGTGAGATTCCTCGCATTGGTTAGCGCTGATGAAATGTCGATAAGCGCTCCGTTGACCTGTTTTTCGGAGAGAAACGTTCAAGTTGACGGAAAAACAAACCCATTTATGCTGAGTTGAGCCGCCGCCGCTGCTGCCGCGTGTTTATTGTTATCCACTGATGTCATCCTCTTGTTTTTGCTCCAGGAAGTTTCTGCAAGGCAAGCTTAATTGTTGCCAGGGGGCCCAACGTCGGCGCAAAACAAGCGAGAACGCAACCTGGCGCGAGAACGCGTCTTCTAAGTTTAAAATGGCTTCCCTTTACCAAAATCCCGTGTGGCATTGTAGCCAAAGCTACAATGCTGCTGTGTTCATGCGCCTTTGGGCGCTGTCGATCCTTCTTGTGGACGGCCAACGTTAGTTGCCATGATGACCGTTCTTCTTCTCAATGGAACACGAAGAAGAAGAACTTCCGCTGGAAGTGCCTAAGTGGAAAAACGGTCGTCATGGCGATAGTCTTACGGTTTCCACGACAAGGATTTATTCTTGATTTTAGTGTGGCAAGTGTTTATAAGGGCGCCCCAAAACTCGTAAACACGTGTCAGGTTGGAGATATGTGGACTCTTTTGGGGGGTGTGGAGTGGTTGGGGGGGGTCATATTTTTAGCGCCTTTGTGAAATGAAATGAAACAGGAAGTTGGGAAGTTTATGCCCCGCAGGCGCCCTCCCGTTTCCCCCTCAGTGTCAAGTTTAAACACAAGTTTGACAGTTGAATTCAATCTTATTTATTGGATCACATACAAAAACACACATAAACACACACAATATAGACAGACGGGCATGTGCACAGAGAGAGCGAGCGTGGTGCTCGAGCACCAACTCTTTTACCCCGAGTGGCAAGAGTGACCTTTGCCAAGGGATGTTTATCTTTTTTTTTTTTCCCATTAAAAAAAAAACATATATTTAAATATGTTCTCGATCATCATTTCCCCTGAGCATTTAGTTGAGTGTCAGAGAATTTTTCCCCTTGCTGTGGACACAAACGAAATGGGTTTATTGACTGTCTTGATGGTGTGAACAGAAAATTCAATCATACCTTTTTTTTTGTGTGTCCTAAAGACCCAAGATGGGTTCTTTTTAACGAAGCAGTTTCAAGGGTGTGATTCCGTGACAATTTTTGGCGACGGCTGCCTCTGTCAAACATGTCTGTGCGGTGCCTGTGGACGTGTGTGACTAAACATGACATGTTGTATTTTTGTTCAGGATAGCTAGCGTTGTGGTCTGCGGTAGCAGCTGGGATCGGCCGCGTCGGGCCTGACGGGACCCTGCGGGCCCAGGTACTGTTCGAACTCGCTGCTGTCCAGATCATACAGCGTGTCCAGATGCACCCGCTCCAGGTAGACGTCCAGGGAGGGCCCCGTCAAGAACCTGGACTCGGCCTGCTCTTCGTGCCGCTGCTGGCCCGCGAAATGCAGGTGAGGGTCACTCGGGTAGGAATCCTGTAAGGGCTCCTGAAAAAAGGGACTCATCGGGTAGCCCCGCGCGGGATGAACGGTCGGGAAGGAGGCGTGGAGTTGATGCTGTTGGTTGTGGAGCAGGCAGGCCAGGTCGTAGGTCAAGTTCAAGGCGGCGGGGGGGCGCAGCGGCGGCGGGGGCTCGGCTGCGGGCGTCTTGGGGCTCTTCTTCAGCTGCTTCCTGCGGCGGGGGCGGTACTTGTAGTCGGGGTAGTCGATGGTGTGCTGCACGCGCAGACGTTCCGCCTCCTGCATGTACGGACGCTTCTCCGACAGTGACATTGACTTCCACGTCTTGCCTGCGAGGATAACACAAGCACCCACAATCACAACAAAGCGAGGTGAGGTGAGGCGAGCCAGCTTGATTCCGACAGCGCATTTCATACATAAGATAACTCAACGTGCTTCACAACGAGACCCCATACACTGTGTCAAAAAAATAGCCAAAGAGTCTGAAAAAGGGTTTCAACTGCTGCGTTTACTGTGAGGGAAGGTAAAGGAGGAAGAATTATTAATGCCAAAATATCAATAACTATTTTTTTTTTAAAAACAGGTTAATGGGGCGGCACGGTGATTGACATGCTTAGCACGTCGGCCTCACATTGCAGAGGTTCTGGGTTTGATTCCGGCCTGGTTCTCCCCGTGCCTGGGTGGGTTTTGTCCGGGTAATCGTGTTTCCTCTCTCCAAAAAACATGCATGTTTTAAAACCAGTTCAGGGTTTACGCCACTTACTCCCCGAAGACAGCTGGGATAGGCTCCAGCAGGTCCGCGACCCTCGGGAGGATTAGCGGATTAGCAAATTGATGGATGATTGACAAATAATATATTTGGAACAAACAAAAAAAAAAATATTACATAAATAAATGAAACCCCCAAACTATGCCTACAATTATAATCATCATCAATTATCACGTGTTACAACTGCTGTCTTTTTAAATTATTTCGATAATCATAATGAACACAATTGTCATTAAAATACATCAACGAAATAATAATAATAATAATCCAAGCCTAATTTGCGTGTAGGCCTGCGTGTGCTCGTGTGCGTGCGCGTGCCTGACCGAGAATCTTGCTGAGGTCGGTGTTCTCCAAATCCGGGTTGAGCTGGGCCAGCCGCCGCCGCTCCTCCTTCGTCCAGATGATGAAGGCGTTGAGCGGCCGCCGCACGCGCTGCCCCGACTGGGGCCCCGCGCACTTGTTGGCCCCCGCCGGGCTGGCCCCTTCTAGCGTCTCGTCGCGGAGTGCCTGGCGCGGGCTATCCGGGGCCGAGCAGGCGGAGGCGCAAGTTGTGTGCAAGTGACGCATGCTCAGGGGCGTCGCGGGGGGGGTCGCCGTTACGGGAGCCCTGGATTTATTTGGGGGCTCCGCCAATGAGACGTTGGCGTGGAAGGTGCGAACTCCAGGTGAAGCCGCGTTAGGCACGCCCCCCCACCCCCCTTCCTCCACGTCCACCAGCAATTTGCGTTCTTGGGGTTCGGAACGTTTTCAAAATAAACGCGTCCTTCATTATTTGTACTCACGGTGCGTTTTTTTTCCCCAAGATTTGAATTTCAAACTCAATGTTGAAATTTCTTTTCGTGCCTAACACGCTTTCGTTCATATGTTTATTTCTTTTCGGATAAATCCAATTAAAAAGAGCGTTTAAAATAGATAAATGATGTGTTTTTCTTTAAAAATAATATACATCATGAATAGCACCGTTAAAATGTGGATGTGTAACATTTTCTATTTTTTTTTCACGTTCGCTTATATTGAATGTCAAAATTTATTGCTAATTTAAAATAAAAATTACATTTGAATTAATTTCCCCATTACAATATGCGGTTAAGTCATCCATGTATTGCTCATTTTTTTAACTTATTTTCATTTGCATTCTTTTTAAAATTATGTTCATTAATGAAATGCAAATTTACCCGTTCAGCGATTTGAATGACAGCAACGTGCGGTTCTTTCCTTTTTTCCATTTTCTATTTTTCTTTTTGTAAATGTGTAATGCTCATTATTTCCTTCTCATCCCCCACCACGTGTTCATTTTTGCATTATGCACGAATGAAGCCTGTTTTTGAAGGCGCCTTCTTACCTTTTTTTTTTTTTTTTTTTTTTTTTTATTAATCGAATCTTTTCTTTTGCCGTTGAAGTGTGCTGGAATCCAATCAATAGGTCCTGACAGTATTGATGGCTGTACATCAAAGTGTGCGCGTGTGTGTGTGTGTGGGGGGGGGGTAGTTACTAATTACATTGTGGCTCTCAAGACGCCCCCCCTCCCCGCCCCCCTTATCAGGCGCGCGGCACTGTCTTGTTCCATTTGGAGCAGATGATGAAACGCGCCTGTCAAATATTTGCGCTCAGCTGATAGATGCACACAAAAGGGGATGATGATGATGATGATGACGATGAAGGGTTATTCCTCACGTGAAAAGGGAGACGACCCGCAAATTCAAGACCCCCAAAATGTGCTCGACGAGCCTCGAAAGTGTATTGAAGGTGCAGCAGCCTCACAGAAACCAGCTCGGCCTTCTCATTTTTGAACATTCGCAACTCCCCCCGATAAAGAAATAAATCGAGAAATAAATAATGGAAGTACTTGCTGGTCGCCCTTTGAAACGTTTTTACATCATCGTTTCAATTGGAATGTTTTTTATAAAATTCCATCACTGGGGGGAAAAAATGCATATTCTAAAGTGGTAATATTGCAGCATGCTGTCCTGTCAACGTCGAATGATGATTGCAGGAGCCCCGCCCCCCCCCCCACTCCACTTCCATTAGGGGCGAACAAAAGCTTGCCTGCATGACACCTGCCTGTGCAAAAACCTCCGCATGCATTTTGCACCTGCGCCTCTTTTATTTTGTCCGGTGTCCGTTCGAACTGACGTGACGTGACGTCACGAGGCGAAGGTTTCAAACGCGCCACAAAAGAAACCTGCGAGGTTCGTGACGTCATCCGCCCAACAGACGCTCGAGTTTGGACTTTTGCCAGAAGAGGCTTGATGTGTTCAAGGCTCATCAAGACAAAATACGTCTGATTGGTTGCGGGGGGGGGGGGGGGGGGTGGCGAGAATCCACATCGGTCGTGTTGAAGGCCGCGCACGCTCTGACGTGCCGTGAAAGACCCCAAAATGCGACGAAGTTGCTGAACGAAATGGCTTCAATCAATTAGGCACAGCGGGACCACACCGAGGTTGGTTTCGGCTCACTACGCCCCCCTGCTGACCGACACACGTCGCACAAGACCAAACATGCGGAGCTCCAACGAGATTTTTTTTTTAATGCGAGCAAGTTTGAATGGGCTGCACTGCAAATAATTCATATTGCATCATCGTTTGATTGATGGCAATGCGGATGAGGAAACACAAGTCGACCGGCTGACTGACTCGTGTCCATTTTGCGGTTTGGCTCAGTCCTTGACTTCATGTTAGCAACTTTCATATTTGCTGCAAGGTGGAGGAAGATGATTTGGCCCGATATTACTGTACACAACTCTAAAAGTTTCATGTAGTGCACGTCTTGGGGGAATTACAAGTTATCGCCATGTCAAGCGGCATGGACTGATTTGGAGGACATTTTGGTTTCCGGAACTGCAAGTTGTTCCGCTTGCTTTTGTGGATGACTTGAAATGTGTTGATGCTCGCCGACATGACCTTGGTGTTCACTCTTGAGTTTCAATGTGAATCGTTCAGAGGATGTGCACACTTGTGCAACCGCGCGATCGCAGTTGTTTCGGCTTAGTTGTTCTTTCGCAATTGATTTCTTCGGGTGGGGTGTGTCGACTTTTGATAGCATGGGCCGTGTACTGTATTTCTCGGATTTTTAACTCAAAAGCACGTGGGACATGTTCTTTTGACTTTTGTGGCTGGCTTATTTGGAATGTTTGGACCCCCCCCCCCAATCGCTTC